TCTCTCTCTCTCTCTCTCTCTCTCTCTCTCTCTCTCTCTCTCTCTCTCTCTCTCTCTCTCTCTCTCTCTCTCTGTTGAGTGACTTGTTCACTGTTCTACTGATTATGAATAAACGACACTGTTCTACTGATTATGAATAAATGACAGTTTCTCCATTGAGAAAAAAGAAAAGAAAAGAAAACAATAAAACCTATACTGGGCCATTATCTAGCTTCGGTTTGCAGGCTACAAAGCCAACTGTTACTCAAAAGCTGCTGACATAGAGGCCTAAACAGCAGTGTCCCTTTAAAACAAGATCACCTTCTATTAAAGAGCAGGAAATGAAATCAGTTGTATTGCCTTCTTACTAGTTCTTCGGCCGGTCTTAGTCGATCCATATTCCAAATTGAATTGAGCACTGCTGCAATGACTTGCTGATTTGACTGCTGGGTTTTGTCTGCGAGGCTGTACACTAACCACTAGGGTTAGATTTGTAATTTTGGTTGTGTCAGGGAGTAACCGAATGTTCAGTCCCTAGAGCCTGTACTGTGAATAGCAGGCCCGGACTATCACTAGGATGGGAGGCCCTCATGGCCTTGGCCCATAGCAGCGGCCCAGAAGTGGTTAACGGAAGTGCACTTTATAGATTGGTGTGAAGTTTGCTTGGGATGGCCTTATGGTTTTCTTATAAATTGAGGTGAAAAATGGTGGGTCAGTTAACCTTTTCTCGTTCTATTAATAGATTGTCGTAGGTCTGTTTGGGACTTTTGGGCATTTTCATTCTTGAGCGGTACTACGCGGAGGAGAGCCTAAACGGGAAAGTGACGATTGACTTCAGGCAGCATCCTGAGTCCCTCGTCAGGGTTGACAGCCATAGCCAGACTCACAGAGTCCACCATAGCTGAGGTGCCCTCTGAGCACTCACCCCTGAGGGTGATTGCGATTGTCTGGGCTATCAGGAGGCTCTACACCGAGGTTTGTGGGTGGACTACTGCTGCTGCTACTTCGTCAGAGTGACCGGAGCAGCAGAGACAGTGGCACTGCAGCCATAGCTGCAGCTTTCATCGTCAGAGTACCTGTTTTGGCACTGAGGACTTCATCCCTGGTCTTATTCTGCAGCTTGGTGGAGGGCGCTGGCCTCAGGGAGGCAGTTTTAGTGTAGCGCTACTAACAGGGTGTGAGTGTGAGGGTGGAGTGTGGAGTTCAGTGGTGGCGAGATACTGGGATAAACTCTTGGTTCAGATTGGCTCAGGCTTGGTTACGTTCTTTTGTTATCCTCGCAGTGTCTTCTTATGATTGGTTGTTGGGAGTATCGTCAGAGAGTGAGAAACACTCAGTGTTATCTCCACACCTGTGCATGATTGTTTTCCGTTGCTTACTTTGTTTGTGTGCAGTGTGTGCTCTGTCTCCTCTGCCTTTCTTCTTATGCATGTATGGGCATGTATGGGATTGTCTGAGTGCGAGTGTTGATTGAAATCGGCAGACAACCAAATTCATAACACTGCTGCCAATATCCGCCCCACGTACATTGGAACTAGGAGATAGTTCTTCTACCCGAAGTTCAGATCCCCTTTCTTTTCCAATTTCTCAAAATTTGTCTACATTTCTGAGCCCTGATCTGATGTTTTGGATCACTATTTGGGTACCTTTCACCTCGGAAGTCGTGGGTCTATGCTTTTTTTTTTTTTTTTTTATAAACAGAACCTTAGAGTTCCGGCTCCTTTTCCATTCTGGGGAACATCAGTCCGGTTCCTATTCCACCAGCGAGTCTGAAGGGATCACAAAGATTACACCCTCACGCTCCTCCCCCTAATGGTGTGGAGGTCCGAAGGACAGCATTGATTACGTCCCGAAGGAAGGACGTACCACCCTTCACCCCTGCCTAAATTATCCTATTCAACTGAGGTTCTGCTTTTAACCTGACTCTCTGGTTTTTCCCTTGCCTCCCTGGAGCTCAGCAGATCTGTCTCTCTCTGCTTCTAGGTCATTAGCTTTTCTATGCTTACTGCCGTCTGTTGCTTGATCTTTTGTTCTGATCCTGTAAGACCTCTTCTGCTTGCCCCCCTGGATATCTGCACGCTTGGTAAGAGACTTAGTCCGTCGGGCGGACTCCTATTTCACCAGGCAATCCAAAACTTTACTTAGGAACCTCACCTGTGCTCTTTTCCCTTGTGGTGGGAAGGGCCGAAGGATGCCATAAATACCCAAGTCCTTAAATGTGCTATAATCTGAAAGTGGAAGGTTATTGAGATTGTTGACTGTCTAAAACCCTAAACCCTAGAATGCTCCTGCTCTTTTCCCTGTTATCCGGTGGTTCGAGGATGTGCCTGGGGGGGGCTTGGGGAGAGGATGGGAAGGGGGTGGGGGATGTGGCTGGGGAGATGAGGCGTTAGGTGCATCAGGGTTCAGCGTTTGAAACTGGCAGTAATACATCGGCTGGTAATTGCTAGTGATCGCTGTTTTAAATAGGGTCAGTTTGCTCTCTCCAAATTTAGTAATTGGTTGTTGCTCCAAGGACTAGTTAGGTGTTTGTAAACTTTGTATCTAGACTGTCGAGTAGTCTATTATTATAATGGTCTACAGTTTGGTTTTGGGGTGGTTGTAAGGTATTCTCTGGACCGTGGTTGTTGTGTTGGGTTGGGGTAAACCAGTCTTTCAAGGTTAATCTATTTCCCGTTATCGAGCCTAGTTTTCCTCCTCCAAGTTTTGATGTTTTAAAATTTTTAATCATCTCAGTCTTATTATCTGGGGTGAATCTATGCTGATATATCGACTACGATAGATTGACTTTGAGCAGTACTGGTTCAGTTCTCCATGACGGGCGTGCAGCCCCCGGGACCAGTGGCACAGGAAAAGGCCGCATCAGAAAGTTTTGAACAATCAACAATGTTACAGAATTATGCCCGATACTTTCACTACCTCGACTTCAGCTTCAGGATCGACTTCGTCACTTCATTACATCTCAGATCTCCACATCTGTGCGCGGATGCACAAACATCTGTACAGTCGAGATCGAACATCTGACTCGGGATCTAGATGCTGATGAGCAGTAAGGAAGGAAGGACTTTCAGTGCGCAGATGCACAAACATCTGCATGGTCGGAGATTGAATATCTGACTCAGGATCTAGATGCTGACGAGCGGTGAGGAAGGAAGGAGGACGAGAGTCTCGCTTTCTATTTATACTTAGACAATCGCTGAGAGGGTTACCTGAGCAGGAGGCAGAATGGTAGCTACGATCACTTGTTGATCGTCTGCCAGGGACCATATATGTTCACTGCGATATGAAAGCCTCACATGCTTGGTTCTGTATGCTGTAATCATCTCTTGGTGTGGGGTAGACTCACTTGGGGGCTCACCTGGTTGGTCTTGTGGTCATGATCTCCTCACTGATCCTGTTCGTGAAGTTCTTTCCCTTCTCTCTCTCTCTCTCTCTCTCTCTCTCTCTCTCTCTCTCTCTCTCTCTCTCTCTCTCTCTCTCNCCTCTCTCTCTCTCTCTCTCACACAAACACACACACACACACACACACACACACACACACACACACACACACACACCTTTTTTTTTTTTTTTTTTTTTAACAGGCCCCGGATCTGCTGGAGATACTGGTATGAGCAGGCACCTCTAGCAGTCCTGTGACTGGCTCCAGTCTATTGGTGGGGAGCTTCACCTTCTGGAAAACGGGTCCAGCCTCCCATACAAGAATTCCATGATACTAGGATATACAGAATGTTTGGAATGCATGAGATGTCTGAAATATATGGAAGGCCGCCTGTCTGTTCAGCCCCGAAATGGCCGCCTGCTCTATCTTGATTCTTGACCCTACTACGGTCTTCCCCCGAGTAGAACGCCCGCTAATTGTAGCTGTATTTGGTGCAACTTTCAGAATAGTTACAGCGATAATGACCGGGCGTTCTATTCGGGTGAAGATGGTAGCAGGCCCTTCCCTTTTCCAAACAGCAATCTTTGGCGCTCTCACTCCCCCCCATACCAACTCATATATGTTATATATACGTATGTGAAGTGTAATCAGTTAGGGGACTCTGCAGACTGTAGAGGGTTCAGCCTCCTTATGAGTTAATGGAACTCCTATGAAACAGTTTGTCACAGCCCCTCCTTTATTGTCCTGTTCTCCTGTTCTGCCCAGTGCCTACTGTTTACCGGGCAGTTCTATTTGACAATATATACATATTACATAATATGTATATTTATATGTATGTACTATGTATACGTATGTATATCTGGCTAATATCTGTATATTTAATATTTATCTATTCTATATCAATTTTTTTTCCAATCTAATATCATGTGTTTTTATTTTCTATCGTTTTTCTGTTTGTGCAACACTGCAGCTGAAGTTCCTCCATGAAAAAATCGGTTTCCTGAAGGACAGCATGCCGAGGAGTAGAGGGTGCGAGAGGGCGCTGTCTTGGACGAGCCAGAAACGAAGGCCGAGGGAGGGCACCGGTCATCCATCCTCGCCCCTTCAAAACAAAAGCTTGTTTCATGCTGTAGCATTGCAGGATCACATTGCACGAGGATTACGCTTGAAAGAAAATTCATCCTTCATTTCAAATGTTCCTTTGAACAGTGATGGAACACCCTCAAATGCACAGCAAGCTGGCTCAAGCAACTCGCACTTGGCCTCAGCACCTCAGGTTGCCAATGGCTGCTCTTATCAGTCACCTGGGAGTGAGTTACCTGAGCAGCCCAAAAAAGAAGAAGAGAAGAAGAAAAAGAACTCAAACCTGGAGCCTGAAAAGACGCAAAGGCTGACTCTTGCTCAGCGATATGGTCTCGTGGAGCGTCCCCCACCTCCCCTCAGTGCAGAGGAATGGAAAGAAATGCACCAGAGGTCACGGGACCGGCATGACAGCATGGCTCCTTGTCCTATTTGTCGGGAAGTCTTCAAAGAGGAGGAGCAGGTGCTTCTGAGTTGCTCTCATGTCTTCCACAAGGCATGCATTCAGAGCTTTGAACGCTTTGCTCAACAGAAATGTTGCCCCCTCTGCAGAGCAATGCGGTACCAGAAACGCCGGATCACTGATGGGTTGATTGCCTACAGGCATGTGTGTGCTACAAGGATTCAAGCCCTTTACAGAGCTTATCGTGTGCGTAAATGGTTCAAAAAGGTGTGTGAGAAAATCCCTCCCAAAGATCCCAAAGCCCGGCGAGAATTTTTTGCAAGGAAGCTAGAAGCAGCCACCGACGGCCTTGTGACTCACATAGCAAATGAGCGAAATGCAGTGGATGAGCTCTTGTCACAAGTTGATCGATCTCTTGTTCTCAGCAGGAGAGTCTGTCAGGATGCCAGTTTGGCATTGAACATCCTGCACAGCCAGCAGCAGACAAGCAGCCAAGACCCTGAGGGAAATGGAGGCAGTGTTGTGGTGTGGCCCCTTTCCGACCAAGGCGCTGACATAGACAATTACGACAATCATAATGATGCTGATATTGATAATGATGACAATTACGGTGATGAACATCTCAGGCTTGTAGTTGGCCAAGGTTGGGTGTTGGGCTCCCAGCAAATCAATCAACTCTTTGACTCTTGCAAGCAGATTGACTGGGACTCAGTCATTGACAAAGCCCTGAGACGAGGAGACACAGAGTGCCCCATCTGCATTAGCCCTCTGCATAGGAAGGAAGGGAAACCGATCGCCTGGCTGAGCTGTAGCCATGTCTTCCATGTGGAGTGTATTCAAGCTTTCGAGGACTTCAGCACTGCAGCAGCATGTGGCTCATCATCTTCGAGGGAGTCTGCTCCCGGGGATCTGCATCAAGGACAGGCTGCCACAACCTCCGAGAGCACCAGAAGTCAAGAAGGGCAACTTGACATGGTCGTAGAAGGACAGAATGCCCATCATCAGTCTGTGGAGCATTTGAGAGATTCCAACCCAAGCCATCAGTTTCAAGGGCAGCGCTCTGCACTGTCTGCAGGGCTCCAGTCTCCGCATGTTAATGGCAGCATGCCACAAGCAATTACTGCCATTACCACAAGCACCTCTGCAACCCTCAACTCTGCGTCTAATGGCAGAGCTGAAGAAGGGGTGGTAGGCACACCAAGGAATACTGTGTGGTGTCCTGTCCGTGTTGTCCACATTTGCCCGATTTGTCGAGCTGGTTACCAGCGACTAACGCTGTGATGTACTGGGGATGCTGCTGCTGATGATGATGATGATGATGATGATGATGATGATGATGATGATGATGATGAGTAAGAGGGGGAGGAGAGGGATGAAAGGGAGAAAAGGGAGGACAGGAGGGAGGATGATAACCGTGCAGCGATGATCACCGTGATAATGACGTTTTGGCAACGATGACAACAGTCATAATGCATTTTGTCCTACCATCTTAACATGTGACATTTAAATTTTGACTTATTTGAGGTTCAGAAGATTGGAGAGTAAGAAGATGCGGAAGAGAGTGAGGTGAGAGAGGACAGGGAGGAGAGGAGGGAGGATGATAACAGCGGCAGTGATGATGACGGTAATAATGATGTTTTGGCAATGATGACATTGGTCATAATGCATTGTTTCCTTCCATCTTAACATTTGACGTTTAAGTTTTGCCTTGTCAGAGGTTCAGAATATTATAACAATGTCCACGAGCATTAGGCTACAATGGTGTGAAGACTTGAGTCCCCATGAGTCCTCTGTGTATTCGTCCCTGAGCGAAAATGACAGTATTGAGGTCAAGTCATGATCACTAGAATCAAAATCGAAGGTTTGCCTGCTCCCGGTGCTTGAAGTTCTTGGACTTCATAAAGAGACGAAAATGGGGGGGGGGAAAGAAGGTTGAGCTGCGCCTTGATCGCGACCGACTTCCCGCCAGTACCTAACGACTGACCCCTACGGACTCAGGCCTACCCATTTCTGTACAGCCTGTGTACAGTATATACTGTAACCTAAGTGACCTACCTTTGGGACAGATGGCACATGGGAAATTGGGAGTCAGTGCCATGGCTAGGCCTCGAGACGCAAGAAACCTTTCACTCCCGTGGGCCTAATTTAAAGGTCCTCCGAGAAAACTTCCTCCTTTATTAGTCTACTTTGCATATTCCCCTACAAGCTTATTCATAATGTGAGATAATGCAAGGAGCAGTCTCAAGGAGTTATTCTTGGGGAACCACCTATTGTCTTTCGGTTCCTGGTACTGCCATCTGACTCTGAGTTGTTGACTGAGTCGTTCTCTTCTGTGGGTTTGTAATAAAGTTTGGTCCACTGTTCGGTCAATGTCATAGCAGTCGTGGTCAATGGACTCTAAAATCCTCGGCGAATGAGCCACTGACGCTTGCAACGAATTTTGAGTGAATTCGCTAAAGAGTTGGACTTTTTCTTTGGTGAAGGTTTTTAGAGGTTTGTCTTTTGTCAAAGAATTACGCTTGCTCTTTAAGCACTAGGCTATTGATATGCCCCTTCATTGACGAATTGGTGGTGATTGATCTTATCCTCATTCCTATGGAGAGAGGGTTTTTAGGGACTTCCACTACGGTAACCTAACTCTCCCCAAGGCTTCACCGAAGATTACACCTATTCTTCTTCGTTTTTTTCTTCGGGTACTTGGTCATTTTTAGGCTAGGTTACCAGCCCGGACTTCCGGGACCCATTTCTGTTCCGGGTTGTCCGATCGGACAACTCCCCTGGTCATCCTGGTTGAAAAATCTGCTCTGGGTCCGATAGGGTTTTGGGGTCTGAGGTGATGTTGTTTGGGGTACTTAGTACCCCCTGGAAGGTTGGCCGATTTTCGTGAGGTCGATAGGGCCTCTGAAAACAAAAACGAAAATGGCTCGGTCTGGGCCATCAGATCTAAGAGATCTACAGCCCAGATCGGGCCAAATTCAAATTTGAATTCAGCCCCCGCCCGCCGTCTGCCCGCGCGCGACTTGGGCACGTCGTGGCAGTTGGACGATGCCGAAATCGCTCGCGTGTGCATAAGTGTGTGTGTTTGTGTGTGTATGTGTGTGTCTGTATGTGTGTGTGTGTGTGTGTGTGTGTGTGTGTGTGTGTGTGTGTGTGTGTGTGTGTGTGTGTGTGTGTGTGTGTGTGTGTGTGTGTGTGTNTGTGTGTGTGTGTGTGTGTGTGTGTGTGTGTGTGTGTGTGTGTGTGTGTGTGTGTGTGTGTAGTGGGTGTGTGAAACGCGGCTATTCCAATCATTATGGAAAACGGAACCATACCTTTATCCATTCTTAGCATAAAAAAGGATGCTACATCATTCAACGTTAGCAGCAGGATATAACCATTCATGGAAATCAACTTCATTGTAGGAGAAGGAAAGGGAGGTAAGAGTTATTAGGGGGGGAGCAATTAAGAGGTTAGTCAATAATTAAGATCGGCTTGGTTAGAAGGTAGCCGAAGGGGGGGTGCACGCCCTGAAGCGCGCTTTTCGCTGCCTAGCACCCATAGAAGCTTATCAGAGGGACAGCCTTTGGCTCCCATTAAATATTAGCAATATTGCGTTAGCATATATGACCATTTAGACACAGGGAAGTAGTTGGGTTCTTACCTGTAGGTGAAAGGTTTGTGAAGATAATGCATCTTCTCTGGTAGCCATCGCCTCTTGAAGGTCTTTGTGTTACTGGAGCCCGCAACAAAGAGCGTTTGTAGCATGAAGGTCTGAGCGTGTGTTAGATTTCGGGCAACCCACGCTCAGTTAGCAAGTGTCTTGTCGTATGGACGAGCTAGAGGATGAGCTCACGTTTTAGGAGAGGAGGAAGGGGGAACGAAGTAGAAGCAGATGGAAGGTGCTGATAGCGAAGGCTTGCGGAAGTTGCAGGTCCAGGTTCGCTTTGTAGTGCCAATGCGATCGCAGGCGTGGCCGATAGGGATGGGGGTGCAAGTATGTGCTATTGTACATAATCTAGTTGAACCGTCTGTAGTAATTGGATAGTTGCAAGCGAACTGGTAAGGGCAGCGCAGGGTTTAGGAGTGGGGGTTATTTCGTGTAAGGGTTGTGGAGTAGTACTGGCATTTGTTTTTACCGTATGGGGGGTTGCGCAGAAAGCGTGTGTATGTGGGTATAGGATATGCTATGTGTGTGTGTGTGTATGTGTGTGTGTGCATGTGTGTGTGTGTGTATGTATGCGTCTGTGTGTGTGTTTGTGTGTGTTTGGGTGTGTGTGTGTGTGTATGTGTGTGTGTATGTGTGTGTGTATGTGTGTGTGTGTAGTGGGTGTGTGTAGTGGGTGTGTATAACACGGCTACCTCATATATACTAAGGGGAACAAGACCATGTATCTGTCCAATCGTACATCAATGAAAAGTTAGCAGCAGGCTTAACACAAAATGGATTTACGAGGGGAAACATAACTTAGTCATCAACTCCATAATTGGAGGATGCGTGTTAATCATCAAACATCAATTAGGGGAGAGAAAATTAGGGGTTAAGTTGAGGTTAGCAATGCCTGTTGAAGACAGTCATAAGGGGGCTGCACGCCCTGAAGCGCGCTTTTAGTTGCCTAGCACCCATAGCAGCTCATGAGAGGGTCAGATTGTAATCTCCCATTAGAGTTTATCATAGAAGGGTGTTGTGTTAGGGTGTACGACATTAATGACACCCTTTGATAGTTATCATCTTACCTGAAGATTGAACGTTTGAGAGGATGTGGCATCCCCGGGTGTAGCCATTGCCTCTTGACTGTCTTGTACTAACAGCTCCTGCAGTAATTAGCGCAAGCGGCACTTCCGCCTGAGTGTGCGTCAGGTGTAAGATCACCCACGTTCGGTTATGGAGTGTCTGGTCGTGTGCACGGGCAAGTCCAGTTGATGTAGCTCAGTAGTTAGAGCACCGGTTGGAAATGTGAATTGTGGTATGAGGTTGCGGGTTCAAATCTGCAGCCTTGCGCATGGACACCGGCAGGGCGTTAGATTGACGCACAGCTGGACGCACACCCGCAGGTAAGCTATTACAGACGCTGCTTGCACAACACCCAAGGGGTAGCTCACGGTTGTTGTATGTCGGGACTGGGCGATGGTAGGATATCCTGATGTTCTTGGTCTATGGGTGGTCACGCGACTGTCGGGTGGTTTGTACATTCTGGTTTACTCGAGCCTACCAGAGCACAGCTTCAGACTACTTCACAGTATATGCCAACAGGTTAGGTCATTTGCACGATTCACATGAGGTTCTGCGTTGGATACCAGACTATGACTTATGGCTGGTCATCCTCCTAGTACGTAGTCAAGGATTGAGGCTGGCATAGCAGTTCCTTAGTACGGGATGTCGGGGGTGTACTGCACTTTACCGTGGGGCCGGAATGGGCTCCAGGGATATACGAGGGAACGGAGGATTGTCTAGCTCTCACAGTTTATCATACAACACAAGGTTCTCCAAGGTCAATAGATACAGTCCATGATCCACGACTTAGGGTTGGTTATCCTCCTAGTACGTAGCTTAAGGGTTGAGGCTGGCATAGCAGTTCCTTAGTAYGGGATGTCGGGGGTGTCAGGAGATACTGCACTTTACCGCGGGGCCGGAACGGGCTCCAGGGATATACGAGGGAACGGAGGATCCCCAACTCTCTCTATCAACGATTCTCCAGGGTCCATACACATAGTCCATGATACAGTCCATGATTCACGACGTAGGGTTGGCTACCCTCCTAGTGCGTAGCTTAGGGCTTGAGGCTAGCATAGCAGTTCCTTAGTACGGGATGTCGGGGGTGTAGGAGATACTGCACCTTACCGCGGGGCCGGAACGGACTCCAGGGATATATTATGGAACGAAGGATCCTCAGCTCTCTACCGTCACTATCAATGATGCTCTAGGGTCAATACACACAGTCCATGATGCACTCCATGATTCATTGCTTAGGGTTGGCTATCCTCCTAGTACGTAGCTTAGGCTTGAGGTTGTCATAACAGTTCCTTAGTACGGGATGTCGGGGGTGTCAGGAGATATTGCACCTGACCGCGGGGCCGGAACGGGCTCCAAGGATATACGATGGAACAAGGGATTCCCAGGTCTCTACCATCAATACAATAGAACACTGCAATACACACATGACTCAGGGGTGGCTATCCTCCTAGTACGTACCATAGGGTTGAGGCTGGCATAGCAGTTCCTTAGTACGGGATGTCGGGGGTGTCATGAGATATTGGACCTTACCGCGGGGCCGGAACGGGCTCCAGGGACATACGAGGGAACGCAGGATCCCCAACTCTCTGCCATCAAAATACGATAGTAGTAATACAACGTAACAAGGTGCACCCTCATGAAGACCTGTAGTAGCATGTTCATACCTAGCTCTCGAAATCCCCGTGCAATCGGGCTTGCACGGCGTCTGCTTCAACCTGGGCTGAGCAGGGGGGTAGGTCTCTCTGCTTAGGCCGCGTGCCTGCAACCGCTGTCTAGTTAGGTCGCCTTGCCAATAAGGCAATGGGTGATGGTCCCGGGTGGTTAAGACTAGGGTAGGACAGGGGGGGTGGGGGTTCGCCAGGGCAAAAATGATAAGAGGAAGGGTGGGTGGGGTCTTCAGAGGGATTTAGCTGGACAACCGAGTGACCGAGTACTGTGGGTAAATGTCATTGGTCTAGTATCCCACCTCTACAACAACCTGGGCTTAAAAAAAAAAAAAAAAAAAGCATATCTTAGTGGAGAAAGGAATTAGGTGGGATCATTGCAGATTGCGTGTATCAAGGTTTTAGGAGTGGGCAGCAAGCAAATGTGGGAAAGTATGGTAGCGTCGGTCGGGCTGCGGTAGATGGCGATGCAAGCTAGCACCATTTTATGTA